ACTCAAAAATTTTCAGTTTACTGGCTCTTTTGGTTTTCAATTGAAATATGCATTTTTTTCAGGGTTCAATCTATGCTGTCACATTGTCTTGATAAGCTTCTTTCATCAGATGCTATTGTAAGAAAGGCTGTCTGTACATTTGTTTACATTTATTAAAAATGGTTGCCATGTATTTATATAGCTCCTTTGATCTAGAAAAATCCCCAAACACTTTGTAAGTTATGCTTAAAAGGTTCCTCCACCCTGAACAGAAACCATGTTGGGACTGAGGCATGGCAGCAAATTAAAAATGCATGCAAGTATCACCATAATTCAGTCGGTCCTCGCCCCCTCAGAGCACCATCAATTTTCCATATCAGCTACTGGGACCATAAAGGTGATTTGGAGTTTGGGAGCAAAAAGTAGTAAAAAGATCATCTTCCTAGAGATTGCATATTTTTTGTGAGCTTTGCAAATAGAGAAGCAGTGTTACCTGTTGCACAAAGCACAGGGCTGGCAATATCTCAGCTAGACCTCCTGTTTCTAGTTTTGGGCATCTCACTCCAGAGAAGACACAGATCAACTAGGCAGAGCTGGCAGCGAACAGAAGAAAGGATGGAGGGCCAGCACCTGAGGACTTGCAGAGAAAAGTGGAGGGAATTGTTTGTTTGAATGAGGGAAGGCTGAGGTGAAACAGGGTTAAGTCTTCAAAACACATGAAAGGCTGCTGAGAAGAGGAAAGAAATAAACCTGTCCATGGGGACAGGAGAAGTCACGAACTTGTGCTGTAGCAAGGAAGATTTGGTGAAACATTAGGCATTTAATGGACGTCAGGAAGGGTGAAATGCTGCAATAGATGTCTGCAGAGACTCTGGAATTGCTATCACTGGAGGTTTTTTTTTGAGACTGGATTAGACATAAATGTCAGGAAAGGTTTAGATCTTGTTCCTGTCTTTGGGACACATGGGCCAGAAAGTCTCTCCTGGTCCTATCTGTGTCATTCTGCTGTGGTGTCACATGTGGAGGCCTGCTTGTATGGATAAACCAAGTCACGCTACGAATTAGTATGTGAGCTCCCTGCAAAGTCCTCACAAGCTAAACCAGAACAGACATTGCCCCAAAGGGTTGCATGTGTGTTTGTTTTATTGTTCAGTTTTAGAATCCTCCCAAATCATCGAGGTGCTTCAGCGTGCCCCCAGCGCGGAGGACTTGAATGGTGTAATTGGATTCAGTGGGGTCTGTTCACAAAGCCTGTGCCTGGGGGCCCATTTCTGGGGAAGGTTTTACACGTTCTAATGATGGTAAGACAATGTATGACTAATGCAGTGATTTGAAAAACTGCCCTATTATCTGATCAAAAGTACAAGCTCATGAATATGATACCGCAGGTCATTTGGCTAAAAGATATCTGGAGTCTTCCAAATTTTTTAAACAATCCCATACACAGAAGCAAAAAATAGAGGTATGAACAGTGGAGCCAGTGGTTGCCTGTTCACCACACATCATGTGGAATGTTTTATTAAAGACATTTTTGTCAGACGCAGAATACTCAAATACAGAACATCCTGGGCTGGCAAGAGAAGGCGTGATAATAATGTAGATGATTATCCCTCAGATCTGTGATACATTTTTATTATTCTCTATGTACGTTTCAGGAATGAACAAAACCTCCCTGAGGACAATGGAAAGTTTCCAGTGGAGTTCAGGGGACTTTGCTGCTGCTTTCATCCTTAGGGAAGTTCTGAGGGTCAGTGAGGTCCTCTGTGCACATGCAAATGTTCTCAGAGGGAGTTTGAGGAAGTCATCTCCTGACACCAGAGCCACCTCTAAGATTAGGTTGTAATCCAACCTGGCTGTCTAGGGCCCCTCTATAACCCCTAGGAAGAGAAAGACCCCGAGCAAGAGTAAGTAACCCCCAGCGGACCTGCACTGGAATGAGGTGGACCGCCTTCTGGAGAGGTTTTTCTCCCCATTCGCTGCAGAAACAGGGTAGTTACAAACTTGGAGATTTTAGAAGGATTTTGTAGCATTTGGTAAAAGGGATCATTCTCTTTAAAGATCTGTAAATGAGCTTGGCACGTGGCTAACGTGCTCAAAGTAAAGTTGAATTTAAGAAAATGTCATATATGGATAAACAGTGATTCATTCACTATTATCATGCTTTGTACACGTTAATGGAAACGCACTGTTCTCTTGTAAAGCATCTTGTAAAGGATTTTTAAAAGCAAATAACCCCACCTAACAGTATTTATCTTAACAAGTAAGCCTGTGTAGAAATCTAATGTCTTGAAAACAGAAAATGACATTGCTGACTGAGGAGAAGAGTGGTCAAAAATTCTCAGGTCTTTTGACAGGAAACCCTGGGATTTTAAGTAAGCTGTAGGGGTTTTCTTCCCAAAAACCCCACCCATTTTCATAGGAGAAAAAAAAAATCAACCAAGAAAACCCAAAAAACACCTCTAGCAGTTGACTAGAAAATAGAAACATCATACAGATACATAAAATGTTGATTTAAGGCTGCTTTAGGAATCCCTTACATGCAGTTGCTGGTAAATGGGCTTGTGATTCTTTTACGAGTTCCCCGGCCAGCCATCGGACATCTCACACAATACATCCCTGAGGTGCAGAAAGACAGTTTGCGCAAGGGACACTTTAATCTCACTGGAGGATCAAGCCCGTAGAATGTGTCAGGAGCAGGATACACCCAAACTGCAAGTCTGAATAGCATTTTGGCAGTGTTTTTCAAATTGAAATTGAAAACCAGACCCTCCTTGCAGTTTGAAATTTAATTGAAGGCTAAATTGTGTAGTTCTGTAAAGTGGCAAACAGTAACAAAAAGATGAGTACAAGCACCTACCCATACTTACCTTAGGGAAAACTGGTACGGGGAAAAACCTCAAAATTGTGATCCCGCTGTCAGCGTTGCCAGATCTGTGCAACACAGCATCACTCAACAGCAGAAATGAGATCTGGATCAGAAGCTGGAGCCTGACTGCATTTCTCTTGACTTACTCAGAGCATGTAATACCTAGTTTTGTCAAAAGTACGCTGTAATGATGCTTTGTATTCACTGTGGGAAGGCCATTCATACTAGATGTTATGTGTGTTACAGGAGCTTGGGTAGACAGTACCTAATCTGGTATCATTCTTGCCGGCACTAAATTAACCGCTCAGAAAAGCTGGACAAATCTGAAACAGCGCCGTTAGCTTATCCCAGATCAACTCTTTGTATTAAAGGACTGCAGCGGTTTTGATGCAGTATAGCAGAAGCTCTAAAGCTGTGTGTCTTGTATCATCAGTTCAAGACATAAACCAACCACTCACCATGGGAATTTAGATAAGAGCTTTCTCCAGCAAGGCTTGATTTCGGAGTTTTCTGTTTACAGCAGTTTGTACCTCTGGAGAAAGCACCGCTTCTCACTGTCAAAGACCTAATACTGGTTAGATGGATTATCTGCTCCCATGAAGCAATTCCCATGTCTTTAATTCTAGCCTGCCTTTTCTTTGTACTGTAATTCATTACACATTAGTTAAGATAACTTCTAGCTACAGAATGACGATCCCACCCAGAAGATGTGGTGTCAGTAGAAAGGATGAGGGAAGAAATGAAATGAGTTGTCCCAAAACCCGGGGTGAAGTGTGATGTGCAGTGATTGTCTATGGATTTGGTGTTGACCCGCGTGTGTGTTAACCAGTGCCCTTTTCTGAATGGACTCTGATCTTCTCACAGTTTGTGATTGACTCAACACATTGGAAGCATCTGAGCTAAGAGCTGTCTTGTTAATGCTTAGACAGAAAAAAAACAAAAGCCTTCAGTGCTACTAAATTCTATTTCTGTGCATGAATCTGGAGCAAGGTATTGTTCCTTTTATCTGATATTATGCAAGACCCAGCCTTTTTCTTCTAAGGTCAAGATCTCAGATACTGTAGCTAAATATTTATAGGATTGCACAGCTTCTTACCCTATGGAAAAAAAATACTGGACGGTCATTTTCAGTGCCTCCAAATCGCTTTTATGGAAGATTTTAAAAGTAACACAGAGCATCTGCAGGTATTAATGTCACATCTTGTTGTGAGGGGAACTTGTCTTTTTTCTCCTTGCTCCATAGCAGAATGCCTCGTTTTTAAGTCCCGAATCCACCTTGCGCAGTCTGCATGCTCAGTTCTGCTGCTCCGTGGCAACTGGTGGATTATGGATCATCCAATAATGGATGCAACGGAAGCATTCTATGAAATGGAGACTACAACTTGAAACTTCCAAATCAATTATAAATGGACCTTTTTGACCTTCAGTGTCATGGGAATCATGATGAATTCCAACCTGCCCGTTCAAAGCAGAGTACTAACTCAAGCTACAATCAGTAAGCAGTCACACCGCTATTGAGGCAAATCCACAGACAGGGAAACTTCGCACTGAGTCTGGTTTTGGCATTGTGATTTGATCCAAAATGGCTTGAAGTCAAGAAAAGAACTGAAGCTGCTTGGTCTCCTGTGCTTGAGGTTATCAGACGTGTAAGGGGATCCTGGGAAATTCTTTACGGCTTGTGAAACAGAGGAAGGGCAGGTTTTGCAGTCCCTCCTGGACGTCGCATCAAGTCCGTGGTGGGTAAGACATGTCTCTGAGACGTGACAAATTTTGAGAGCTTTGTTGGCAAGAAGGTGCCTAAGAATATAAGAATGGTGTCATCCTGGGTCAGCACAAAGATACATCTATCACAGTCTCCCATGCTGGCCAACAATGTATGCTTAAAAAAAATGAGTGCAATAAACTAGATACATCAAGAGTGATCCTTCCTTTGGTTATACTCCACCAGCAGCCAGAAGCTGAGGGACATCATGAATCAGTTTCCAGACCATCACACTTACCAGCCCCTGGGGATCTCCCTGCACGTCTAATGCGTGCGAATAATAATAATAATTGTGATTATCATTGCCGTTGTTTCTACCACTTAGGTTGACAGCTCGCAGAGTAGAGATAAGGGTTCTCCTGTTTAATTTCCGTCTCTTGTGTTTTGTTTTAGCACCACCACGTTGCCTTCCTATATCAGGATAACTAATGGCTACATCACAGTCAAACCTCCCATTTGGATTTCAAACCGGCTGGATCAGAGACCGCGTTCGGATCACCCATCTCAGCCTCAGCCTACAAGCTCAGCTTCAACCAGCATTCTATGGCCATCAATAACTTCTCCTCTCTGCGTGGCCATAGCTTCTTTTCTCCTGAATCTACTGCAGCCTTCCTGACCACATTAGTATTATGTGCAATCCCTTGGAACAGAGAAGAGAGATAATTTATGAACGAATTGGAAGTTAAGACAACAACAGTTACAAGCTGGACCTTCTCAGTGAATCAGTAGTGCCTTCTAGCTGATTTTGTCTCTTTGCCCAGATACATTTTGAAACTCTAAAGCTTTATTGTAACACTGACTTACATCTTCTTTTTGTAGAAGGATCTTTATTTCCCATAGTGCTATGGGGTTTTGTAAAATATACATGTTCATATAAAGAAAAAAAAAGAAAAAGAAAAAAATGTATTTATTCGACTGGTAAACTTATTTTTTCTTATTGTATATGTTAATAACATCCCTATTAATCAGTAGCGATGGTGAAACAGATAAATTAATATTTTCTATATTTGTTTTCTAACTGACAACTCTGCAAATGTCTGAACCGACACCAAATGAATGGCTTCTTTGTTTCTTTAACCCTCACTTTTTGCAGAAACTGTCCAATAAGTACATATCTGCTGAACTTCTTTATTTAATTTTTTTAATCTCATTAGCATAGCTCACACTGAACAAAGCAGTTCCTGCTCGCTGTGGCCTATGCCCATTAGAAAAATAGATGCATTCTTAAGTTATCTGCTACAACCTAAAATCCCAGTTATTTTTATATGACTTAGTAAGTCATTAGTCCAGATAACCCTCTAAGTTCCTGTGTTGTCTTTAACTCAACTATTTAACTTCTTTGGAAATTATCAGTTTTCCTCTTTGCCCTGGGATTAATTCATTAGCTTACACAAATTAAGACACCTACTTCTTAATAAAAAAAATGCTTTTAAAGTCTGGATTAATCCTACTGGAATTGTTTTCTTCTCTCCCTCATCTTATATAAACACAAGCCTACAACCTTTCCCAGTGTAAATGGGAACAGAACTTGGTCTGTCTATAGGGTATAAAGATGTAGTATCCTGCTAATCTGTAGAACTTATTTGTACCAGTTGTATTAATGCAGATGGACAACCTTGAGGGCAAAACAACATCTTACAAGTTCCTCTTCATCTTGCTATTCTGACGCTTAGAGCTGGCATCTCCATGCTGAATTATGACGTCCAAAATCTGTTCCAGACCACAGGAACCAAATTAACCCCTGTGTCATGGAGACGTGCAGAATATTCCTCTGTTCATAGAGTGTGGTACCTTTGTTGACTTAGATGGAAACGTTATGACACTTTATGCTCACTGAAAAATTTGCTCCCTCTCCAAGCAGCTTCTTTTCATGAAAGTGATGGACAACATCTATAGGAAAAAACCCAAACATGTCCATCTTAAAAACTATTATGTTCAATAAGGCATGTTGATTTTTTTCCCCAACAAAATGTGATGAAAAATCCCTTTGAATACGATAGTTTCAACCAGAAAGTTAATTTTGGTTGAAATAGTGGGGGTTTTTTAATTCATCTACAAACAAAAAATCAAAAATATGTGATGAAAACATCTTAGTTAAAAAAGAAGACACAAAAGCCAGAAAAATACAATGCAAATTTTTCCTTATGAAAAAGCAATGCTTTTTCACCTTGAAAAAAATACCAGGTGATGATGATAGTAATAATACTGATAAAAGTCTGACAGAAAACAGTCACATCACTTTCCCACCAGCCCTACAGCATGGTCTCCAGGACTGGAGAGATGACTCCGTGCAATCTTGAAGTCTCTGCAGTGAGAAGTGGTTTAGGATTCACGATTTGTTTGTCATTGTACCAGTTATTTCAGGAAAGTAGGTTAGGAAATAATTAGTCTACAAAAGGCACATAGTTTTATTTGAAGCCATGATGAAATACGGAGCTTTTCCATCATTCATCCCAACCCATTGCCTTGCAAAGGCCAGGGAGAATACAGATAACTTCTTTTTGACTTACTGCACACCATGACCTCCAGCCTTTGCTCTATTTTTGATGCAAAGTTGTGTAGATTTGTGGTCTGTTTAAGGGGGTACAGCAGACAGTGCTATAAGCTACTCATATTTTTTCCAAGCTCAACAGTTGATAAGGCCAAATGGAAAACTTTGAGCTTTGCCCCAAATGTGAGCTTCAAGCACACCCTGCGCATACTTTTATATTGTGTATTTTGGCTAGCAGAAGATTAGAGATGTTAGTTTTGGACAGAAGCCATTCACCTTGCATAATATTTATTGCATGGAGATGGATGTTGGAAACTTATTTTGAGACCTTTCATTTTAGTTTTATTTGAGCTGTTACCTTAGAAATGTCTTCGTTCGAATATAATGGCTTAACAGACCTTCAAACTCAACCTTAATGCATTTAAAAAGATGACTGGTTCTCCTGCTGTATTCAAGATGGAGATCAGAAGTGAATTGTAATGTATTATTCACAAAAATGCAACTGGAAATAGGTAGGCAAATCTTAAGGGTGATGATAAATTACATAGTAAAAGTGAACAGACAATGAACCAAAACCCATTGAATTTTATTTGTTGTAATTTGATTGAATCCAGAAATGATTCTGTGATACCATCCCAGAAATAATTCCAGGTGCTGGAAAACTTACAGTGTAAATAGACAAGACCACATAAAGATAAGGGAGAGAAAAAAGAGCAGAAAACAGAAACAACTTGTCCAAGACTGTAAGGAAAACCACCAGTAGGACCAAGAGTAGGAATTACATTTCTACAGTTCCCCAACCTGTGGCTTTCTCCCAACCTCTGGGGCTTTTTTGAATATTATCAGCACACAGATATTGCCACACTCACAGCTGTCACTACACCGCACAGAATAGTCACTTCATTTGTCACTGAGGAGGTTTTTTTCTGACTCACTCCTCCACTGGACAGTAATAATCAGTATTCCATTAGCACACATACCACGGTATGTTTGGATATCACAGTATGTAAATAGCTTGGTTATCAAAGTATGTTCTAATGCGTTTGAATTACCTGGCATTTTTGTCTGTAATTCCGGCGAAATGGATGAACTTTCCTGGAGCTCACTGAATTTCCCTTGCACTGGTGCCCCGCATTTGTCATGCTGCAGCACAGGTGGCAAAGGAGTCTCTTGGCTTTGGGGTCCACACACTTGACTTCTGCCACCTAAAAGCCTCTAGCTGACCTGGTCATCTGAGCTTCCTCTGGTTAGGGAAGACACGACTTAAAATAAATACAAGCTTAAGTAGCTTTCCATCGATCCTAGCTCAGGAACCCCACAAGAATGGTTTCAGCACAATTCTCTAACCAAACATTTATTTTACTCGGTTTTCTTACCCGAAGGTATGACTTAGGGTAATTTTTTTCAGTCCATGGCATGTAAGCATAGCAATACTAGAAAATGAGACCCTCACTGTGACTGATAAAATGAATTATATATTAATCAGCTACAACAGCCCAGTATTGATTAAAATACACTAATACTGGCTAGCACAGATCTATGCAAATCCATTGCAATGGATCATGATTATATTCACCATGAGTTTAAAAAGTGTGCATCAAATTTGATACACGCTCTTGAAGCAACACTGACTACCAGCTTCATGGGACTTCAGTTTTCTCGGTGGGTTTCTTGGAAAACTAGGAACTGACTGTTTTCTTTCTTCCAAAGGAAAGCTCAGATTCCCGTTGTAATCACAAGACTCCAGGAGCAGGAGATTTAGCAATAATATTCATGCTCACTATATCTAACAGCAAACGTGGGTGATACTGTTTACCTCTGAGAAACACAGTCAAGAGACTCCTGCAATGTCTAGCAATCAAGGATGTGATTTTGGACGAGTCCAAAGCTGGATGTTGATATGATTCATCTTTTCAGCGGAGCTACAACTGATACCAATGCAATTAACGTTATATGTAACTGTAACATTATTAATGAATGCTAATTATCTGCCAAGCTCTTGCCCTGGTGGAATATATATCCCACACCATCAGCAACAGATCTAACTTCCACTGTTTCATTGTTTTAATGCTTTTCTTGCCTATGTTTAACTACAGGTGCTACATTAACATGCATTGCCACTTGGAGAACCAGTTAGTAAGCTGGGGCAGAAGGTATTTTATATTTTATGACTCATGTAGTTTGTCTGCAATCCCTTGGGCTGTTGAATAATGCAATACCTCTTCTGGCAATAAATGATGAAGATGATTTATGATGACTATTCTTTATACAGGTGTCAAAATCCGCTTTGTTGAACTTCCCTTCCCATTCCTCCAAGCTCCACTGTAATTTGGGAACACCCAAGGTACAGAGCTGTATATTTATCTAAGTTCTTCAGTATACAGTTGTGGAGAGGGAGAGCAGTGGAAAGAGGGAGAGCTTAATCTATGTTTAGCGCATTGATTAGTCGAATGATATGACCCAGTCATTACCATATACCGCTGTTAGGGAGGAATTTCCCATCATGTATTTATGTTAGAGAAACCAAAGTGCCAAAGTTATTATCTCAGCATAAATGTTATCATTCCAGACTTTGCTTAGTACCATATTTCTATATTATATCCAAAAAGCATATGGGCTTGTGATATCTCTGACGTGATCAATGTTCCATGGAGTGTGCCAGAGTTCAGCTTCAATTCAAGCGTGTTTCAGCTTAGCTGAGGCAGAAAGAGAATTGCCTAGTTTTGAGATCATGGGGGCTGGTGCGTGTGTGTGTGTGTATATATACACATATGTGTGCATGTATACGTGCACACACGTGTGTTGTCTGCCTGTGTTTTCCCCCAACCCAAATGCAACCTTTCCTGTGACTAGCTTTTCAGGAGGCACCTTAAGCTAGCTAAAGGCAGAGAGGTCTTTCCGATGAGTAGTCGATACTTCCCTGCTGGAGCAATGAGTAACTGTCCTGCAGATTCCTGCTCACACTGAATTTTAACTTGCATGTTTGTCAGTTTTCAATTCAAATGTATTTCAAATATTTTTTCCTGTTCCGCCTCCTGCTTTCGTGAACTATTTTGAAGAGTGTAATAAAAAGATGCTTTCTAATATTATTTTGTCAAAATATTTTTGTAGCATAATATATTAATAAAATGTTATTATAAATCCATAGCACAAGAAACTTGTATGTCTAGGTTGTTTCCTTTCCACTAAAAGCTAGGAAATAACTGAAAAAGGAGATCTTTCAGTCTGTAGAGCGTATGTGCGCTGTTTTGCTCTTGCCCAGGACATGGGACGGAGGAAGCCATACTCTGGGGAAGACTCCTCATAAAGTGATGTGGTTTCGTCAAGTCCACTCCTGCAGAGATTTGGAAAATCTCTCTATGTACCTTTCTGTTGGTGAAAAATCGCTGCCCCTGGGTTGTAACGAGTCAGTCTGGAGCTGCCTCCACCTCTGATTCATGTCACTCGAGAGAAGCCGCTGGGTTAAACTCGTGGTGTGTTTTGCTTGGGGAGAGAGAAAGGGTCCAAACGGCAGATACAGGACCTGGGAGCTGAGCTTGCCTCTGTCATCTTATCAAATGCTCAGTGGGAAAGCACAAAAAAAAACCACAAATGCCTTTTGGGGGATATGGAGGGATGGGGGAATGCAGGAGCAGGGATCTTGAAGGACTATCACCTGAATTCTGGGGAAGAATTCTGGTAGATGGGTGAGACTGAGGCAAAGGGAGAGGTTTGGGGTGTTTCGTTCTTACATTTGCTTGTTTGCATGCTGCCCAGGGCAGCGCACGTTGAGTCCCACAGCTTTGGGCCAGACATGGTGGCATGTGGGACTGCAGCTGGGCGGTGGAGTGGGACGATCACAGGGACAGCCAGAAGGTGCTCTGCGGAGCTGACAGTGGCATTGCCAGCCCAGCAAGGCTCAACACCAGTAGCCCACACTGTGCTGATTCACCTTCCCATCACAGGC